TTGAGCGGAACCCTATTTTTTTTACTATAATAGAAGTAGCCTATGTTACTCCCTATAACATCAGCTATCTTCCAGTGGAAGTCCCGTCAAAATCAGTCCAACCGTTTCAGAGATTATGCCGAACAAACAGACAGACAATTCAATTTTATTTAGTATAGAATATACAATATGTCTCTTTTTCCATCTTTTTAATTCGCTTTCAACAGTTTGGTTTTTTGTTCTTGTAATTTCAATTTTTATTTCTCTTAATGATAATGCAATAAAAATTTAAGACTTAAGCCACGTTAACTAAATTAGGCTTCTTAACGCCGTCATCTGTGACGTTGCACGATAAGGAATGAAGGTAGAGCTGAAGTATAAATCATTCTGTACGGTTATGCGCTAGTGTAGTAGTATAGGTTACAAGTTAGTGACTGATCATCGCTCTTGTGGAGAGCTGCGCCATCCATCTTAGTTGCCTCAAACTGTCTCCCGCCGGGCGCCTGCTATTGTGTTACGTGCGGCGCGACGCTGTAGGGGCATGTAGTCTGATACAACTGGCGTTACTCCAGTACGTTCGGTTTTGTTGACTCATCTGTGATCATACACGGTACGTATACGAGCATCTACCTCTGGCTCAGTGGCAGTGTAATGTCTCTTAAAAGTGGGGTACTGAGGAGACATAGGTTTATTCGCATTGACGAGAAATATGTATATTAAAAAAAAGAGAATTTGAATATAGTGACGAGTTATAAGTAGTGCTTTATTATGAAACATAAAAATGACTTCATTCACTATTTTTGCAATATGTACTTCTATTTATTCTATACTTTAAAGTAAGCAGTAACATACTAAATAGCGTTTGGAGTAGTATGTATCCCATCAAAAACATAAATGTGAAAATGGGAGCCAAGTTCAATATTAAGAATATGGATGCCAAGTTCTGTAGATAATTCTGATTTTTTTCATTTATCAACTCTGTGTAAATAACGGTCGAGTTATTTACACAGAGTTGATAAATGAATGCAATTAATAAAGTTAATATTTAATAAGACATCTACAATATTTTGAGAAAGTTGTAGAATCTTTTTGAAATTATATGCGTAGATGCCTATTTATTGCTATTTTAAGATAACTTATATACCTGACTGACCTACGGAGAATTTTAGCCCATCAAAAGGTCATCATCACATCATTTCATAGAGAAGCGGAGAAGGGGCTAGAAGGGTTTGGTCTATACTTTTTGCATTTTCTGAGAAAATTTACCATTGTAATGTATATTTTTTTACACCATCAGAAAGTAGAGATTTTACAGAATAAAACCACCCACCGACTTTTTAAAAAAAGCAGATATTTTGACGGGAAAATTATCGATCAATATTAGACTGCTTTTTCGATATTAAGTCAAAGTAAGGTGCAAAATTAAATATTTTAAATCAAATAAACTACAGTATGCTTGGGACATAAAATGGTAAGTTTTCGCCAAATTTCGTGAAAGGGTGTTTTTTGGAAAATATAAAAATAAAAAACCAAAAACTTGGTTATTTGAATTTTTCACATAAATTTTGAGGTTATGTGAAAAAAGTGTTAATACAAAAGTTGTAGATTTTTTTATTACCTACACTTTGTTATTGAACTTTTTTTCATATTGTAGTTTTGCCGAAAATCGAGATTAACCGTTTTTTACCCTTAAAAGCTGACCCCCTCCCACTTCCCGACCTCAGATTGCCCGTAAATTATTTTTCCTTTCATTTTTGTTATATTCTCTTTCTTTTCCAATGGGTTTCATCTCATCATTCTATTATTTTTTTTGTTTAAAAAATTACCGACCCTGATCTATATAGCATCTTGACATACTGGATGTAGTTTAAAGAAATTTATAACTAAACTTAAAAAAACACTGGAGTCTGATAAATATTATTTTTATATATTATAATATTCTTATTATTAAAATATATATAATATTTTTTTTATTTTGTAGCTACACATTTTTATTTGTTTATATCTGTTTTTATTTTATTGTTAGTAAGTTTACTCTGCTATATTTATGTATATGGAAACTTTATTGGCTAAGTGTATTAATTCTGATGTATTTTGCATTTTATGCTTATATATGCTGTCTGTTTTCCAATTTTCAAAATAAATAAATATAAAAACAGTAACTTGCGTATAGCATAAAGAAGATAATAATAAGTGATTAGCCGAATATAAGATAACTTGTATGTAAAAACTAGCTTGTATGTAATATTTATCCCATTTTTCAAAGATAGCTCGCAACGTAAAGTTGTTTTTTTTATTTTTTTAACATATTAGGTTTATGTTCTTATTTACATGAAAAATAGTAATAAATTTATAATTCCATTACAATATAAAAAAATGAGATTGAATGAGAGAACGCCTGGACCGATTTGCATAATTTCATTTTTAAGTTTTTTTGGAAAAAATTGCAAATGTTGCCCGGGAAATTGGGAAATTTGATCATAACTGAAAGTGGATTTTCTATAAAATCCTTATTCTACGGCGATGGCTTGTGACCTTTGAGTATAATAACTCAAAGATAAATACAAAAATATATTTATCTATACATATAATAAAATTCTAACTGAGTCGAATCTATACATTAAATATTTTTTGGAAAATCTTATTGAAATAGTTATTATTATCGAAATATAGGCCGAATCTATAGTTTTCAGAAATTTTGTCTGTCTGTCCATCTGGGAATGCATCACGAGTAAACCACTGGATGGATTTTGCTGAAATTTGGAATGATGATAGCTGGTTGATCGGGTCCGGGTCCGGTAGGATCTCTATGAAATCTGTACAAACCGTTAAAACGCACCTAAGGACGAACCCGAGCGAATTGAGAGTAAGTTGCTATTCTATTTAAGCAAATATACCTACTCGTAAATACAAAAAAATATTTATCTAGAAAAAACTCAAAATAACTATTAGCTATATAATATAAAATTTGGACAGAACAACATTTGTAGGATCAGCTAGTATATAATAAAGTTACATTTCATATGTCTTTGTTTCATTTGTATACATATTTCATATCTATTGCACCTTTATACTACGTCGCTTACGTATCGATATATGATATTATAAACACAGACTCTTAGTAACGACAAAGCCCGAGAAGGCTAAATTTCAGCTAAATGTAATAAATAGGAAATTAAATTTAACACAAACTACTGACAGTGATGTATAGTGGGTGATCCCGCAACGTAAACACGACGTAACGCTCGGCTTGCGTGCCGCACCTGCCCGCTCACACGGAGCCAGCTACATCTGTCTTTGGAAACATGCGTAAAGAAAAATTGTATTAGGTTGTTATTCTAAATCATGAACGTCACCAGACTAAGATTCAGCTGCCCTCGTCCAACCCCGATGTAAATTAATTTGGCTCATTAGCTCATTAGCGTCCGGTGGTTCGGCCAGGCGCGAAGCCAAATACGCACTGGGAGGCGGCCCACCTCGGTGGGCGGTGTGCTATATGGGTTGCTCCTGGTACTTCTCTGATAGCAGAGTGGACCGTGGGAGCAACCTCATGGTTGTTGTGATCTGCTTCGGCAGACCTGCTGTGGGAGCATCGTAGTTGAGCGCGTAAGCGATCCTACGATGCCCTATTAAGACGGGGGAGGTTCCGTTGGGTTTAAGTGGGTTGTTTTTATTAACTATGCCAGTGAGGGTTTGTTCTCTCAACTTCCACTTTTTACCTTTTTATAACATTATTCTTCCTGTATACTTTCTACTCAAAAAATATATGATACTTCAACATAGCTTCTAGACTTTTTAATATATTTGGCTAACAAAACATAACATTAAGTACAGAGATAACATTAAGTACATAGACAACAAAAGATAATTATTTATATATGTACACAGATAATAAATATAATGATATTTTTAATTGAAGTAAGCCTATATAAATAAAACATTAGTACGCAAATACATTTTTTAAGATCTTTAAGCCTCATTGTTTATAACTTAAACTATTTATACACACATTTATAATCATAATTTTTGTTTAACTAAGAGTTAAATAAAAATTACAATGTTACAATATTTTTAATACAGCGTGCAACATGACTGATAAATCAAAGCTGGCAGCAATCGAGGACTTCAATACTTATAAATTTAACCTCCATATATATTCAGCAGTTTTTAGTGGTTTCACAGTTATTTATTTAAAAAAAATAAAAAAAATATATTAAAAATAAATAATAAATAAAAAAAATTATATTAAAAAATAAATAGCGATAACCAGATTTTACATTAAACTTCGCAAGTACAGCCGAAGTATCAATTATACCATTTTGGTTTATTTCTAAAATGGTATAATAGAGGGACCCTTTTACCATTACAATAGTTTTTATCAGTATCTTCTGAAAGTCTAAAATCTAAATAAATATAAATCATTATGAACAACTTAGATAATTTCATTTTCAACTTTAACTTTCAGTCTTTAATATTTTTTTCTGTTTTATTTTTCTATATTTTTTTTTATAACTGCGCCTATTTTTGGAAAATAAATCCTGCAAATTTTATTTATCTAAAACTATGGCTTCATTAAAAAAATGTTTTGAAATAGACCAGGTCTGTTAAATAATGAGTAGGTACTTTAAGTAAATAGTTACCAAAACTTCGTTTTAATACATAGGCTATGGATACCCGTGGTTATGAAGAAATAGCCACGGCCACAAATAATAATGACTAGTCTTAAAAAATTTTAAATTAAAAAACTAAGGACGAAAAATGAAATTTATAAGCGAAAAAAAAAATCTGTAAACGAACACGTCTACTCTTTTCTTATATAAGTTACATTCATTACTTCAAGAGCTTAGTTTTTAATATTAGAAAGATATGATTTTTCTTCAGTTTTATTTTTTGTCCATATATTTTTTTGTTAAAAAGATTTTTCCATTAAGTCTGTTCGCTAACATTAACTGCACTAGGTCTAGTATTATGTACTTGACATTCATTAAAAAACAGTATTTTTGTAAGCACAGGCGTGAAGTATGTTCTCGACGCCAGCAATTCCACGAGCTCTGCCTCGGTTTTGGGGCGCCGTCGTGAGCCTCGTGCTGCTCTCACAAGTATCCAGTATACAATCAAAAAGTGATAATGGTAAGTAATATTTATATGGCAATAATGTCATTTATTATAAATCATTTTAAAACGCAAAATATATTGTTATCCCTCGACGTTGAAGAAGGGTGTTATAAGTTTAACGAATCTGTGTAGCTGCGTGTCTGTCTGTGGCTTCATGGCGCCCAAGCGACTGAACCGATTTTAATTTTCTTTTGTCAAATGGTGACTTAATCGAGAGTGTTCTCTATAAATCAAGAAAATTCGTTCAGCCGTTTGCGGGCTATCAGCTCTTTTCTATACGGTAAAAAGATAGAGCAACTTCCACAGATCCATTATCTAATCTATTCGAAACCTGGTATGCCGTTACGTCAATGACATTGCAACGATATGATATCCTTGGCCTGGTGCTGCAGCGTCACCTGGAATCTGCAAGATAGGTTTCTTATTATTCGATTACAGTTTTTGTACTTATTTATGAAACTGAGATAGTACCTAAAGAAAGTCCATTAATAAATGAAGTAAATAATAATTATCTATACATGTAATAAAATTCTGAGACGAATATCGATGCAGAGGCCGAATTTATAGTTTTTAAAGTAAAAAGTATCTTTTATACCCGGATAACCAGCTATCATTATTACAAATTTTATCAAAATCTATCTAGTAGTTTTCTCGTGATGCGTTCCCACACAGATAGAAAGACACACAGACAGACAAACATTCTAAAAACTATAGATTCGATAAAAAATGACTATTTCAATAAGATTTTCCAAAAAATATTTAATGGACAGATTAGTTTTTTGAATTTTACATGTATAGATAGATAGTAGGCCTTGAGAATAATGTGAGTACCTCCAGGCTACTTAAATGTTGTAGATTTCTTTATTTTATAATTTTCCTTGAAATAAATATAAAAATATAAGCTAATCCTGCTGAGTTTCTTTCCATAGTTTTCCTCTGACTTGATTAATGGTGAATAAAATATTTTGAACTTGGCTATATTTTAGGGATTTTCTTTAATTGGCAGATTATAAAAATCATCTTTTTTGTTTTAAGAATATGATATCGTGATAGTGGGAGGAGGCACAGCCGGGGCGGTACTCGCTAAGAGACTCACTGAGGGCACACTATTTAGCGTGCTCGTTATCGAGGCTGGGTATGAAGTATCGTATAAGTCCGAGGTAGGTTGCTAAATACTTATAAATACTCGTATTGTAAACATCAACACGTATGTTTGGAAATGCATTTATGCATACTAACTGTATACCATAATATGAAAATGAGGATGAAAGTTTGTATGGGGAAGTAAGCAAGGGACGAATCCGAGCGCAGCGAGGGTGAGTCGCTAGTAGCTTGTATTAATAACATTTTCCAAAAAAATATTCAATGGTTACTTGTATTCAGCCTTTTTTAGCGTCCCACTGCTGGGCACGGGCCTGCCTTCAATACGAGGGGGATTAGGCCATAGTCCACCACGCTGGCCAAGTGCAGGTTGACGGACTTCACATGCCTTTCGAAAACTTGCTAGGTTCTCACAGACATGCAGGTTTTCTCACGATGTTTTCCTTCACCGTAAGGTGTGTAAGTGGTGATCATGTTAGAAATGATTCACACATGAAAATATCCCAGTTGCGAGTCCCGGGATATGAACCCGCTTCACTCGGTTTCCTAAGTGAGCGCGTTATTACTGGGCTAACACTGCCCACTTCTTACCAGTTTATAATATGTACGAGTATATTATAATATGTATTGATTCTAAATCTTTATATTTCTGTTTCAGTTACCCGCTCTATTTCCATCGCTCATACGTACAAGGTATGACTGGAATTTCACATCTGAAGAATATTCATTGAATAATTATAACATTTCAAAACCAATTATAAAACCTTCCATGGACGTCACCAGCGGTTGTGCACTCGGTGGCAGCAGCAGTATCGGTCATTTCATGTACACGCATGGTTGCCCTGGAGATTATAATACTTGGGCAAAAATAACTAATAACTCTATATGGAAATATTTTAATGTTCTACCATATTTTAAAAAAAGTGAAAGACTTGAAGATCCCTCTATTTTATATTCTCCTTATAGAATGTTTCATGGCACGAAAGGTTTTCTAGGTGTTACGAAACAAAACAGTTCAAGAATTCTTAGAAATTACTTGGAGTCATTTCTAGAAGCAGGCAATCCAGTAATATTAGATTCTAGCGGAGTTGACCCTTTTGGATATAGTTTACAGCTGTTTGCTATTGCTGAGGGAATAAGACAAAGTACAGCTTATCTTTTACAAGGAAAGAATAAAAGACCAAATCTTACTGTTTTGACAAATATATTTGTTACAAAAATAATATTAGATGAAAACAACAATGCCATTGGCGTTACAGCTGTGACTAGAAAAGGCGAAGCTTTAACTTTCCTAGCTAAGAAGGAAGTTATTGTGACAGCGGGTTCTTTTAATACTCCAAAACTTCTTTTGTTATCTGGAATCGGACCGCGGCAGCATCTAGAGTCCTTAAATATATCTGTTAGGAGTGACCTACCCGTGGGATGGAACCTGCAAGATCACTTGTTGCTTCCCCTGGGATTTAAGATGGAAAAATCGAATAAGCCAAAGCTGCCAATTAACCCCCATGAATTACCATTTTCCCTGTTCTCAGGTTACGTTGCATTAAATAAATCCAGTGTATGTCCAGAATACCAAAGTATCAATATAGCCGGTACACAAAACGCTTCAGATATTGTTATTTTATGTGAAGCACTTGGAAGTAGCATGGAGTTTTGTCAAAAACTCTCACTAGAGGAAAGAAATGTATTGCTAACTATTATAACACTTTTGCATCCAAAGTCACGTGGAAATGTGAGCTTACGCAGTGCAGATCCAAAGGATCCACCTGTTATATTTCTCGGGACTTACACTGATGAGAGAGATATGCATGATGTCTTAAATTATATTGAAGATTATATACGTGTCTTAAATACTACATATTTTAAGAATGTAGGAGCTGAGCTCATTAATTTTAATGTAACCCAATGCGCGGATTATGAGTTTGCCACTAGAGAGTACTGGAAGTGTTATATACCTCTTACGACAGGCACTATATACCACTATCTAGGCACTTGTTCTATGGGAGCAGTGGTGGATGGTGAAGGTCGAGTCTATAATATAAAAAAGTTACGTATTGCTGATGCCAGTATAATGCCAACTCAAATAAGTGCAAATATAATGTCAGCTGTGATAATGATTGCCGAAGTCATCGCTGAAAAAATAAAACAAGAATATTGCGACGCTAAAATATGTCTCTAGTTTAAAAAAAATATAACATTCTTTCAATTTAAAATTAAAAATAATGAGAAAACTTAAATTAAATTAAAAATAATGTATAACTTAATTATCATCGTCTTAATATTATTTTATTATTATATGCTTTTACTTATTTAAAAACTTATTTCCTTAAGCTGTAGTCTTAAATTAGATAAGAGGGTCCTGTGGAAAGTTAGACGTGCGCGACACAGGGTATCCTAGTGCGTGCGTCTCAGCACTCCATTGCCAATGTTTTGTTAAACAGTAATTGTTGTTAGATTAAGGAGTACTATATTTATATTCATTTTTGGTACTACGAATTAAATGAAAATAAATAAAAAAATCATTAATTTAGATGTTTGGAAAATATTAAAGCATATTATTGAAGTTAATTTTTTATTAACAATAATGCCCTCCTGGCTGATTTCGGCCACGGCGGCTAGTTTCAATGAGACTAGCAATCAGCGCAGGAGCACAACTGTGCGCGCAGACAGTGTACTTTCTGTTCCTATTACATTCATACTCCTGCTAAAAGACAATTTGACACGACCGGTGAGTGAACACTTGACACTTATTGTTATTTATTAACAGAATATACAAACATTACCCTATTAACTACTAAAATTGACAATAATTTTCTCAAAAATATATGTGCATGTAAAAAAAGTTATGGCTCTTGAAAAGGTCACGCGAACTTATTTATGTGTTAAAAAAATTGTCACTTTTTTCGAATTTTGGTAAATGATCATTGGTCATGTATGTTTTTTGCAAACTTAACTTTTATAGCCCCGAGCTCATATACTGAAAGTTTGCCGATAGGTACCTATATACTATATTTTTTTAGCTGAATTACAGAGGTAGACAATTAAGTTATCTATTCTAATATTAAATATAAAGGGGAAAAAAAGTTTTTTGTTTGTTTGTTTGTATCGAATAGACTCCGAAACTACAGATAATTTGGTAAGAAGATAGTTTGAGATCCTAGGAAGGACATAGGATAGTTCTATCCTGGAAATCATCGTTCAAGGGGTTAAAAAATTGGCGCTGAAAATTTGTATGAGTAAGCAACCTAGGAACGAACCCGAGCAAAGCGAGGTTGAGTTGCTAGTTTTGAAATAAAAAATAATACATTTTATTAATAATTCTCTTGATTGAAGACTGAGGTTTTCCCTTTCTGAACTGATGATATATATATAAGATGATGATATATATAAGTTATTTAATAATTTAATTCTGAATAAAATATTTTGAATTTGAACTTATTCTATATCAATCTTAATAGTCATAGAATAACTAAATAGTTATGATGAATGTATAGCCGTTAAATATTAAATATAAATGATCATATATAAAAGATTCATTGCATAATAACATTAGTGGTATGATCGGTTCTGCGTTTTCTGCGGCCGCCGCTATCTGCCTTTGCACAGTACACTGTGCTTAAACCCTGCTGACAACAGTTCCCACGATGGGTGGCCAGTGTCGCACATAGTGTGAATATGTCGTTACATTGCAGACTTTCATAATCTATCGGCCCTTAAGAGGTGGTTGTGGTTTTCCTTACTAGAGTTAGATATTTGACAAAGTCTATAAACCTATGAGTCAATGTTATAAAGCAGATCTAATTTTATACTTTTACGCTTAAGCGGCAGGACGGATTTGGTTGAAATTTATTATTTAATAATTAAAATAAAAATAAATAAATAAATTTAAAACATATACTGTTACCTGAAATAACACATTGTTACTGTCAGTAATAAAAATTTCCAAAAGTTTGAATCTGAATATAATACAAAAGCCTTAAGTAGTAGCAAGTCGCTAGGTAATAAATAAACATAATATTCGAGTAACATATAACAAACCATTTCCAATAACGAGTCGAAACCGATTCAATCAACGCTTTTTGTTTTGCTTACTGTGGAAACTTTAATTTTTGTGGTCGACTTCGACTGATTTAATGCTACGTAACTTTATTTATATGACAATTTCCCACATTTTCATTTTAATATCAATAGTCATGATATAACAGGTGTTTTAAATAAAACTAAATCTAAATCTTTTCGGATTTTTAGCGGATTTATTTTATCATTAATATAGAAAGTATCTGTCTGTAACAAGTTTATAATGATCTTTGATACATCAAAAACTTTAGTCTCTCCTGTAACCATGATTGCTGTAATAAAACATTCGAAACCTCCGGAACCAAAGATCAAAATAAATCCGGGAAAAAATCCGATACTCGCGTAAATCTAAGAAGGTATTATATAATTATCAAAAGAAATGAAGGTATTCTGAGAAACGAGAGTAACTTCTAGGAGCTTCATACTCTGATTTCACGCACACAAAAGGAGATTTGGCCATAGTCTACCACGCTTGTCAAATGCGGGTTGGTTGACTTTACAAATCTTCCCTTATATAGTTTCTTTATGTTGAAAATAATTGCACACGAATGCAGACAAAAATTTAGGAACTGCAAGACACGGGTTTGAAAAAAATCTTGAAAAAACAAGCACGCATAGTGGTGTTACACTACAGTGTGGCTACGCTAGCCCAAAGTCTCAGTCTATTTTGTCACAAGGCACAATGCTGCGGTAACCACTTACTCGTATTTCACGTAAAAGCTTTCAACGGCCAAAGAATTACATTAAAACTCGCACATATTACTAAGATTTCGCTTATATTATTATTGAAAATATAGATTTTTGTTCTACCTTAAGAGGTACTTGTAATAAACTGATTAGATCATATTTGTGAATTAAATATTATTTGGAAAATGTTTTTGAAGTTAGCTTTAATTTGTAGATAAATTAGCCGAACCCGAGGCTCCGCTTGCGCTAATTTTACAAAAAAATGTATTTATACTATTCAAAAATAACATTTTTTTTACCGTCGCTACACAAGCAGAGCTGCGATCTAATAATAGTGTTTTACAATTTTGCATTAACAAAGATTTTGTCGTTCCGGAATTCAGATATTCAATTTCAAAGGGCATACATGAGCAGGATGTAAATTGTAATCGACGCGAGGCGCGAGCCGCGGTCGCATGCATTAGTTATTCTCGGCGCGCTGCACTGCCGAGCCCCGAGTTGTATCATCAAACTGTATCGGCTTTTACATCAAATTTGCCCGGATAATTAACTAAATTTTAAACTAGCTTATTTCCGCGATGTCATTCATATTGTGTCAACTAAAATCTACTATAATATCCCATTAGTCAAAGTAGTATATGGTATTAAATAGATTAAAAAAAAATCGGATCGTAATTAAAATAAAATCGAAACATTATTTTTTCTTCTAAAACATATACCTACTCGTCGGTCAATCAGTGCTGTAATCATAATATTATTCAATTATATATAACGCAACTCTTAGTAATCAAATCAAAATATTGGATATTTTCATAAAAATAACAACAAAGGCAAAGTATTAAATGTGTCAATCAGTGTTTTTTCAGTTACTAGATCAAAAAGCGCTGATTGAATTGGTTTCAGCTTCATTGAGCGCCTCGTTATAGAATGTGTGGGTTTAGTTGCTGTGAACATATAAATAATATTTTAACAAAAATATCTTTGAAATTATTCTCACTGAAAGAAATTTTGACTTTAAACAGAAAGCTATAGATTGTCTGTTTATTGTATCAATACTTTATAATATGATATTTGTGTTCAGAAATATCCAAAAAATGCTACAAAAGCAATAATTAAAATATACCTAATTGTTACATTCATTTAAATTGATATTCTAAATATTATAAAACTTTTTCGTTTCGTTTTTTCGTTTTTGTTAAAGGATTGTAACCGAAGTTGAAGGGTTATTTGGTTGTTTTTAACACCTCCAGGTAAATTTCTAAGAAATTAATTAAATCTATTGTTAACTGTAACCGGCGTGTCCGCGGTCATGGAGGGATTAAATTCAGATTAAATGGACAGTATTAAGAGAAAAAAAATCTATTAACACTAAAGTTATAAATATGTTAGGACATTTACACACAGCACCATCACAGTTCACTACGTAGTACCTATTATTGCCGCCAGAAAAACAAAAATATCATTGAATTTTATATTTAAAAAAATACTATATAATATTTATCTATTATTTAATTTTCCCTTACTTTAAATAATTCTTTAAAATTAGGTTAAACACTTGTTTCATTATTTTTTTTATATTTGGAATTTTAGGTGAACATTAAAAACAAATCGACATTCGATATATTACGCCATCTATTATAATATTTTTTAACTAATTTTTATTTTGTTCGTATTGAGACCCCATGACACCATCTAGTTCCATGATAAACTACGAGGCTTGTGTTATTGATACCAGATTGTTGATATACTACACATATATAACTTAAAATACATACATATTATACATATAAACGCCCATGACTGGAGTACACACATTCGTACCCATCACACAGATGAATGCCCCAGCGGGACTCGAACCCGCGACCGCTGGCACAGCAAGTAGAGTCACTACGAACTGAGTCAAAAGTGTCATCAACACGTGAATATACCTATTTCTAAATTTGTTCGTACATATACCTTACCTATATTATTCTCATACAAAGTTATGATTAGCAACGCGATGTGTTTTGATAAAATATTCTTTTTAGATTAACTCGTGGCGACTCAATTTGTACCGCCGCAGTCAGCAGATTGAGGATTTGTGGTACGAGTAACCGGGCGAAGCTCATCCCGTCCAGGGAATGGGATCCTTTCTATTAGCAGAGGCTAATAACATATGAAAATAAATACTCGAGCCGGGACAGGATAAGCCGCGATACAAAATAATAGAAGATTGCTTTCTCTCTGACTTAGCGGTAGCTCTGAATTCAATTGACAAAAATGTTATTATTATGATATTATCTTGAATAAGATTTAACAAATAAAATATTACGAAAATAAAATTTCAATTATAATTGTACGGTTTTATCCATGGCAACGCCCACCTCTTTATTACATCGGGTAATCAAAAATGATGCTAATTTGTAGGTGGCT